GTACGTCAGGGTTCAGGTTCATGACAACAACAAAGCAAAACTACCCTTAATTTAAGAAGAAAAAAACCAACAGGCTTAATATTCTCATATTCAGTTGTTGCAGTTGTTCTTAAGATAACATGAACTGAAGCTTAAGAATCAGTCGCTCAGGTGCCTTCAGGTGTTGATCCATGATTCTGTTACCGACCAGCTACAGGCTTTGCTTTGTTTCTCCACATTTTCTTTCTCTCTCCAGTGTCACCGACTAGTAAAAGCAAAAATGCTCAAAGAAAACACCAATAAAGTCAATTAGTAAGCCTTCTTTCTCTGGTTCCTGATCGTATACCTCAGCTCTCTGAGTAGAAGCAAACACACAGGTATTTAACCACAATGTTGACAAAACCTAAAGGATTCTGAGAGCATCTGAATCTTCAGCAGTATTTCTTCTAAATGGTTTTCACATCATTCATCTCATCTGAAGTGCAAACTGCAGGATCTTTGACTGAATCTGCTGCTGTTCAGATGTGATCCGTGCTAACCTTTAGTGCAGCTGATACTATCTGGAGCTCTTCTTCTGTGCAGCCCTGCTTAACAAACAACTCCTTCTCCTGAGGCACATCTCCCAATCAGGTTCACATCATTACAGACAAGCTACGCACAGAGCTGCCCACACATTCCTGCAGAACTACAACATCTAGTCGGATCAGGAGAGCTCTGATGCGCGCTTCATTTACTGGCGCTCTTTCCTCCAGCCCGACACCTTTCGCTGCTCCAGCAGGGCAGTCAGATGTGTTCACTGACGAGTATTTATTATTCATGACACCTCGGGCGCTCGCAGACCTGTAATTGGCAAAGCAAGTCGCAGAGACACGAGCCTGTTGGTGTATCTGTTGTTTAATGGTGATCTGGAGGTTGGTGTGCTCCTGTGAGATTCATTAACGTGATCACCAAGCTTCAGCAGTAACCGGGCAGAAGTAATTAAACTGAATAAATGAATACCATCAACGTGACATAAAAGCATCATGACATTCACAACGTGCTTTATTAAAATTATTGGCAATGACGCCGTCGTACAGGGCTGACGTGAGCACAGCGCCCGCTCACGATGGTATACAAAAGGTAGACATGATATGGCAACGTAAGGACACTGAGTGACGACATGTTAAGCACACTGTGGTATGGCTTATTCAGATTACATTCACCTTTTTGCAATTAGAGGGATAACAGCTAAAAAAAACAAAACAGGAGTTTCGATAACATCTGAGCATAAAAATGTGTTATTCAAAAAAAGAAAAAGACGTCACATGCAGCAAAAAGTAACACCGAGCTCAATCTGCACAAACTGAAATAATACAGAATGCAGGGAAGTGAGAAGGCCCTGGTTCAACATCACCTTTCAATGAGTGCATTTTTTTTCTAAGTTAAAACGTAGAGCATTTCCTCTTACCAACAATTAAAATACTTCAGCAAGACTCTATTGTGAATGCAGGCCCCAGAGTGACCAGTGAACGCTACAGAAGTGAACACACCCGTGATCACTGACACAGAAGCTGGAGAAACTGTGATCAATAAAATAAAACCACCTGTGGTTTCCAATCAACTGCATGAACTGTGACTGGTCTCTGGATGAACACCAGAACAGTCCGGAACCAGTGGGATGTGTCTACCTGCATCATGGCTCCATGTGGAAGAGGAGAGTTTTAAATGGGAGATTTCACAAAGAAAAGGCTAAAACTCAGTCTGAACACATCCACAGCTATAATCAGGATTAGTAGAATGAGTGGCCGTCTGCCTGGAGTGACTCCATCAGCTGTGTGCTACTTCTACAGTCTACCTCTAAAAACAAGGTGCTTCAGACTTGGCACAGAGGGTATCAGTGAGAATCAGAGTTTCTGTAACAGCTAACAGTGTGAAGGGCAAAATGTCAGCCTCTATGGACGATGAACAAGAAAAAAAAAAAAAAAGATTAAACTTCTCTAAAGAACACCAAATAAAGCCTGATTAAAATCGAAGCATGCTATTTGGTCAGATGATGGTGAAGTCCAGCATGTTGGCCGTGAACCTGACCAGGACCACCACAGAGAAGCCCGGGGTGGGGGCATGATGATACGGAGCCACATGAGTGTATAAAGTGTTATCAGTAGATGGAACCATGAATGCCTGCAGCTGACAGGTCGACTCCCAGCCTGCAGAATATTCCAGCATGATCATAAACAACACGGCCAAAACCACACAAGAGCTTCTAGAAGAGAAAAGTAAAAACTATGACCTGAAACAGTAGGTAGAGCCCACAGCCCCTCCAACACAGAGCAGCTGGAAACAACACTGGTGTCCTCCACCCAAAGAGAATGGAGTCAGAAAGGAAGCTGGACATGTATTGAAAAGAATAGAGGGTCTTAGTAGTGAAAGGTGTACTTGTTCCTACTTATGTAAGCTCTTCATTTAACACTGCAGTAAACACGCTACGCTTTAACTTAGAAGTCACGCATTCACAATAAGGTCACAAAGTTTTCAATCCTTTGACGTTGAAGTGATGCTGCACGGGGGTTTACTCACTTCTCTTGTGTCTTGTGCGTTGAATGGAATTAAAAAGATGACGATGGTGATAAAAAGAAGTCCTTCTTTGTCGTAGAAGAGCAGCAGCTATGAACCCACGTTGTCTGACCGTTCACAGGAAAACTCTGACTAAGTAGCCACAAATACAGGTATCAGTCTAAATACAGGATCACAGCTCCATCACGGACGCCACACAATTAGTAACAGTAAAACTTAGAGACGCGATCGAAGGCGGTTGGAACGCCGGGTGCGATGATCACGAGCCGAAAACAATAAATACTCAAATGATGGTTCTTCATTGCACACCCACAGCGAAGGTTGATTAATTTAGGGTTACACCCCTGACCTAAATCAAACGTAGGCTTTCGATGGCACAGGAAATTAATATTTTCTCATTAAAAAACAAAACAAAACTGTACAAATAAACTCAGAAACCTCCTTAAAATGTTCAGCATCTGGTCCAAGTCATGTAACTAAACAGAAATATCACCAACACATTGATCACCCTGGCACAAGACAGTCTCATGCTGACACCACAACACTCTCACACAACTTTAAGACAATAGTGAAATTGAATACATTTAGGCTAAGTAGCTTTAAATCGTTCTGACAGTGTGAGTAATATCCATGGAAATGCTCCAGCAGTGAATATCGGCAGCTTTCGCCTGCTGCTGGGGGACTACGTATGTGCGCAATGACGTTATGTCTCCGGACATGCAGTTCTCACACGGAGCCAACTGGATCCAATTCACACAGCGAACATATTTCCTCATGCATCACAACCCAAAAGCAGCCTCTGGGAATGTTTCCTCCAAACCCTCAGAAGTCACGCTGTTCAAATCCAACATCGTGTCTGTGTTTGTTTTGGGGGGGATTTATCCGTTACTGCAGGAATGTGAAATTAAAACACAAGTGAAACAAAAACGTTAAAAGGACAGACTTCAGAGAGGTTCTGGAAGTTATGTGGGAGTTTAAAAAGAAGAGAGGCATGTCACAAAACCAGCTGTAACAAGCCTGAACAGAGGTTATCAGATTTCATCGACGGACGTCTGTTCCTGATCGGCAGAATATGTCAGCATAAATAAGTCTGTCAGTGTGATTCTAGAAAACACATTTAGTTTGGATGATATGGAAGCTGACAGACTGCTCAGCGACAGGCAGGTGTTAACTATGACAAGCTCTTTTAACATTTAATAGTCGAGTTTAGATATCTGGAATTAAATTTACAGATAACAACGGTGTCATTTTGACTCGTTGAAGTTACGCTTTGACCAGTCAGGATTTTAATTTCACTGTTACAACAGTTTGAAATATCTGCTGCCACCATGACCAGTCTGAGCTGTTGTGCACGCCAGACTTCACATCAGATATTGTTCCAGTAAAACATTTGAAGTGTCAGCAGAAGTCATGGCGGCTGCTGTGGTGGATACGATGATTGGAAAATGCATGCAGTACAAAGAGCTTATTGGCAAGGAGCTTGTGGAGAACGAGAGACCATTAGAGGTTGAAATTTACTACAGCTTCCCCCTCAGGCTTCTCATGGCGGTAAAATGATTCGTCATGTGCACTTATGGTTGAAAAAAGACGTCTGAAAGGCAAGTGGCCTTAGAGTTTGACGTAACTACAGAATCTGCAAAGTGAAAAACCTAATTCAATACTGATTTAAAGGAAATTAAAGATATCTTGACATAAAATTATGACTAAGTCAGATTTGAACTAGATATCTGAAGCTAGAATTAGAACGAGTCAGAGTTCAGCTGCAGTAAAGTTTGCTCTTTGTCCTGGAAGAACGACATTGTGGATATTTGAAATGAGAAAGAACTAAACTGCAGATATCCAGTCCAGCTATTAACGTTAAAACGGCTTGCCATAATTATCACGTTAGTAAGCAGGCTAAGGTCGGACCAGCACACGTAGACCACCATGTTGGATTAACTTCTGCAAGATTAAAAAAAAAAAAAAAAAGAAAACACACAACTAAAGGACAGTAAGCAGCGTTGACCTTCGTCTGCCTCGTTGTGTGTGTTCATGAGCATCGACGTGCTCCAGATCAAACACTCACTGACATTCACATCTGGCCGTCTCCTTTCCCTTCAACCAGAGGAAAAAGTGAGAGCAGAGTAAAAGAAAGCAAGGCAGAGAGAGATTCAACACAGATACAACAACGCAGTGCACTGAGTTTGTCCTGAAACTAAACTGACCGTAGACCTTAATCACATCACCTTTGGTCCATTAAAAATCAAAGACGATTTTTGCTAAAACGTGAGTAAGAATCCTCCTCCCAGTAGAATATTAGATTTTGTATAAAACGCTGGTGGTGTAGTTAAAACTAAAACAGGGTGCTGCTGCACTGCCGCCGCTAGCAGGCTGCAGGTACTGCTGAGTGATGAGCTGGCTGAGGTAGAGCAGTATCTGGCTGTCCTCCTCGCCCAGCCCCAGCTGCTCCTGCAGGAAGCAGCGGCGCCGGCCCTCCACGACCTCGGGTCCCTCTGTGGCGCTGACTGGCAGGTGGAGGTGGTGGGTGAAGGTGAACAGGAAGGCCTTGGCTGCCAGGTGACAGAGCGTGCTCTGTATGTGGAGGAAGTAGGTGGAGCCGCGGCGGATGTAGGTGCGATGGTCGGCTACGTTGGCGAGGAGTTGGCCTCGGTACGGCGGACAGCGCAGCGTCTTCTGGTCGGCATCCAGGATGGAGATGTAGCGGCTGTAGCGGGACAGAGAGTACAGCATGCTGGAGCCCACCGGAGACGCAACTCTGTGGAGGACAGACGGACCAAGACTCAGTCAGTTCACTGTTTACTGCTACAGCACCAGTCACAGGTTAGGACACGGCGGCATACGGAAGGGTTTCTTTGTTCATGCTGTTCAAGAAGATTATTTTATGATATTTCAACCATCCATCATCTCTACACCTTAACCCTCACTAGGGTCATGGGGGGTGGAGTCTATCCCAGCTGACTCAGGGTGAAGGCAGGTTCACCTGGACAGGTAACCAGTCTATCACAGGGCTACACTTAGAGACAGACAACCAAGCACACTCACATTCACACCTACGGACAATTTACAATCACCAATTAACCTCAGCATGTTTCTGGACTGTGGGAGGAAGCTGGAGAACCCGGAGAGAACCCACGCTGCACGGGGAGAACATGGAGACTCCACACAGAAAGATCCCGGGTGTCCTCACCGGGACGCCAACCGGCGACCTTCTACTATGAACATGCTTCATATTTTAGATTCCTCCTTTGAAATAAGTGGTTTCTGTTGAGCATGAAGCAATATAGCATTTACAGTATCGTGAAAACAACCAGATGTGATGATTAAAAGAGAAATCATCATCATCATCATCATCATCATTTAGCCTTAACATTTGCAGCACTGCACAGACTGACCCACTATCACAGTCCCACTGGATGTTCTCGGCCTGCCCCACTGCAACAGCAACAACATTATTCGATGTAGTGATGGCGCAACTGCTTAAAACATGAAATGTTTTAACGCCTTTAGGAACCTGGAAGCCGACTTTTCTATAGGAAGAATGAGTAGAAATGAAAACATGCTCAAGGACAGATGTGCAGATGAAGGCTGAATAGCTGTATAGATGGTTGTGAGTCATCAAGGAATGAGTCAGATCAGAGGAGTAACAGCAGAGTAAAACTACACAGTGGAAAAAAATTGTCAGCTTCAAACTTTACATTGATGGAAACTCTCTAAAGCTCACTGAGCAGAGACTCAGTGTTAATCTACGTTAACATCATCATCTGTCTGCTACATGCCTTCAACATAAACATGTCTCCGCTTCATGCTTACCTTTGCAGACCTATGAGCTTCCACCTCTGCAGGTCGGTGAGGGTGAAGGGACAGGACAACCAGGCTTGGACCCTCTCTCCACACTTGCCAGGAGCCGGAACAAAGAGAGCCAGAGCAGCAACCAGCCGGCGAACTCTTCCCTCATCTGCCCCCAGCACCACCAGGGTTCTGCCGCTCAGCAGACACCACAGAGCTTGCATGGCAAAGGGGTACTGACGCACAAACCTCAAAGCTCCTTGGCCAGCCTTCTTCCTGTGACACAGGGTCAGCACCCCCCCGTAGCCCAGAGGCGAGGCAGCCCGATCGGACCCTGTGGAGGCACTCATGGTGCAGTCTGACCCGTCCTCCGCTGAGGTGCGGGAAACTGCATCTCCGAGGTGGCCCACAGGCAGCTCCAGCCCTGTTGCAGGACTCTCTAAGCACGGAGAACCCACAGTGTAGTCGTCCTGCAGTGGAAGAAGGGCCTGGGGCTCCTGGTTGACCACCGGGGTGGGAGAGGGCGGCGGGTGGGAGCTTTGGCGCAGGCAAGGCATCGTCTCCGGGGCAGAAGCCTCATAAAGGAAACCCTCTTGGGCCATACAGCATGCTGTGTCAATCGGAACCAGCAAATCGGACTCATTCCCTCCCCCACACTCGTCCTCCCCGCTGGCCTTCAGCTCAGACACCACCTCCAGTAAAGACACAGGTGTCTGGTCTCCCCCGTCGTCCCCCTCATCGTCGCCTGCAGTGGTCTCCATCTCCTCACTGCTGCTCTCCCTCTCCAGGTCAGTGTTATGGTCCGGGTCCGGGGTCAAGTCTGAGTCAGGATCAGGCGCCTCTGACTTCATACTCGTCAGACTCTGCTGCTTCTCTGATGGACCCACTCCGCTCTTATCGCTGCTAAAGCTTCCTTTGGTCTCCTCCGAGCTCTCCTGGGTCTCTAGAGTCTGGTCTGAGGGGGAGGACTCTAGATGGCTCTCCCCAAGTCCAAGCTCACTCTCCTGAGTATGGCTGGTCTCAGAGGTTGGGTCTAGAGGCTCTGGAGGTTCCAGTGCGTCGAGCTCAAGAGGTTCTGGTCCGAGCACAATAGGAGGCGGGTTTAAGAGTATACAGCTGTCTATGGCATGGTTCACAGCACAGAACGGTCTCACTGTTTCTGCTTCGTCTTCATCATCATTACCAAGATCCTCCTCGAACAGGAAGTTGGCCACTCTCTGCTTCCTGCGTAGAGCCTTGTCCAGGCGGCGGGTGTGCAGGTAACACAGATCCCCCCGGAAGCTCCTCTCCGTCTCCTTCAGCAGCTCCAGCGTGGCGTCGTAGAACGTCTCGTCACACAGCTCCTGCAGGGTCTTCAGGCGCTTGTCGAAGCACTTGGCAGACTTGGCTTTGATCAGCTGTGGCGTGTAGGATGGCCTGCGTTTAACACCCTCGTCGTCTTCCTCGTCCGCCTCTTCTTCACCTCCTTCATCATCAAACTGACCCTGCCCGTCCTCCTCTTTTTCACAGTAACTGAAAGGGTTGGCAAGCTTGACGTACTTATCCAGCAGCTCCTCGCACTCGCTCAAGCACTCGGTCATGCACTTCTGGCAGGTGACGGCGTGAGGATCCCGGCGTGGACGGCGATGGTAGGAGCTGATCTGCCTCAGCAGGTCTCTGTGCTCATAAATGCTCTTTTCCACATTTGCAAGTTCATTGGCCTTCTCCACAGCGTGAGCCGAGTACATGCACTGAGGCCCCGCCTCCCTCTGCAGGCCCTCCTCCCGCTGCAGCACCGAGTGAGTGTACCTGAGGAGAACACAGCAGGAAGTGATGCACACGTCTCCTTACAGGGAAAAGAAATACAGCCTGGCAGAGCTGCACTTTTAATTAAACATAAGCAAAACTGACATTTAAAAAAAGTATTTCAACAATATTTTGTGTTGAAATTTGTGTGATACTAAACTTTGGCACCAAGATTTTCATTTTTACTGCAAAAGTACATGTTTCAATACTATTTACTGTCTCCTTCAGTACCAATAATTGGCCTTGAAACAAACACACTTGTCAACCTCTGTGGCATAAACTGAACTATATACTTTACAAACATACATGGTCCTATCTATAATGCAATCTCATATTTCCTCATATATCTTGACAACTACTACGTGGATTATTATGACATTTGATACAGAAACACGTCGTCCCCACAGGATGCATCCTCATGACTTTAGTGATCCCCTGACCTCTTATGTAGCATCATCAGCAGTATGAAATCAAGAAGGACTTTAAAGTACTTATACCTTTAAAACTAATGGCATTCCCATTAGCCTGAGCTGTGCTACTGTGTGTCTTGTGCTAATTGACTCCCTGAACACCAAAACGATGCTATTTATCAACCCTGAACTGTAAAAACAGAAAGAATCACACGATCCTTGATCTAATCATGTGTGACTGTCTGGAAAATTTATCAAATCTCAGCTCAGCATCATGATATTTCATTACAATCCCTTTAATCTACATGCATCATTTAGAAATTCACCAAAAATAAACTGTTTGAACCGTATTCTGTAAAGAAAAAACCTAAAAATCCAGTGCTGCTTGGCGCCTTGACAGACTCGGCTGCAAGCGACGCTCGCATGAGAACAATCCCATTCGGCTGAGCTGCAGGCTGTATTTACACAGACCGAGGAACAGATGAGTACGAGAACAAATGGGAGAGATTGTGAGCAAAATAAAACATATTTGGCGAACAAAATAAATACAGCGTGGCTCATGAGCGGTATACAGAGGAGCAGGTTGTCAGCAAGTTGTTGGTATTCAGCCTCGCGCACCAGAGCTGATGTTCAGAGGATTGTGAACAACGAGGTTATAAAAATGGAGATATATTTATACTATGTGCAGCCTCCATTTTTCTCCAGTATTTGCAACATTTGTGAGCACTTAGAAAATAAGACATGTTGAGTCCTTTTTTTTTATTAAAACAGCAAAATAATCAAAGAAATGTAATTCTTGTTTTTGCAGGTTTTCTATTATTTATGGCTTTATAACTTTGTCATGAAGCACAGAAAAGACTTCTGAGTTCTCTCTAAAAACACCCCATGCACTGCTTGGAGTTTAGGGGGTTAACAAACGCTAACATGCTAAAGGTAAATGCATGCACACGTACCTCCTACACATCAGCATATTACCTTTCAGATCAAATCACAACGTTATGAAGCCTTACAGATCTACGAGCACGGCTGTAGTCTAGACTCAGACTGTCTGAACTCAGTCAGCTCCACATCTAGCTGACAGATGCTCTACTGTGGGAACCTGCAGAGACGGGCCTTGTAACTTTAAGGGCCTTTAGGTTTTTACTCAGGTGGTGTATACTCCTAAATAAAGATGCGTTGAACCAAATCACTACTAAGCCCCATAAAGAAACACTGGAGTGAGGTTGTATTGTTTCTGCACAGGAGCACCACCTGGCCTATAGTCAAGATGTCACCAAATGGGAACCAGGAGGCAACTGGGCCCACTGGAAATATCAATAACAGATCTGGACTGGACACACTGTTTTTAAACCCTGTATGGCAGAGGATGCACTGAAGTTCTTACTCAAGGTCCTGCAGCTTCCTCTGGAGCTCCTTGGCGAACGCCCTCCTGTTCCCAGCCTTCAGACACTCGGAGGCCTGAGAGAAGCGGAGGGACAGCTCCTGGAACTGCAGCATGATTTTCCTCTCATCTGCCGCCACGTAGGCCATGCAGAAGGGTCGCACGAAGCCCCTCGCCTCCAGGTCGTAAAGGGTCAGGTGGTGGACGTAGGCGAACGCCCCCTCCTTCGAGTCGCCCAGCACCACCCTTGAGTCCTCCACAAAGCTGAGCCTCGGGTAGCCACTGCCGGGCGGATGCCCCACAAACGAGGCCTGGTAGTCCACCGACATGATGCGGAGGGAGAAGTAGTTGAGATCGAACGTGCCGCAGACTTTTGGATCATCGGGGATGGTGAGGAGAGGCTGAGGGCCCACCTGCTCGGAGAACTCGGAGATGAGGATGAAGTCTTTGGTGAACTTGGCGTAGGAGGTTTTGGCCCAGGGGTTGGAGTCAGCCAGCGGATGGAGGGGAACAGAGAACTCCTCTGGGACAGCCCAGGGGTCCGGGTTAGCCTGGCCGTACTCATCCTCTTTAGTGAACGCCACCACGTCCGGGGAGCCAATCATAGTGGTGCTGTCGAGAAAGGCATGAGAGACTCAACACACACTGCAGCGCCGCCGACAGTCATAAACCAGCTGTCAGAGCACAGCGGTGACGGGCAGCCATGGGGGCAACAGCCACACTGGTCATTCTGCTCTCACACGGTGTAGACAGCGCTGATGGTAAAGGGACTGGTCGTGCAGCTGGACGGGGTGCAGGATCCAGCTGCTTTATGGGCTTTACTGAAGGGGTCCCACCGTACAGAGGGCCCTGTCATTAGCTGCGCCCCTGCAGGCAGCAGGCTACACAACAGGGACTAGTCTACACAGCAGGGACTAGTCTACAGAGCAGGGACTAGTCTACACAGCAGGGACTAGTCTACAGAGCAGCATACGTGTCCGATCAAGTGAAAACAGACGCAGGAGCCGCACAAGTCAGTGGCTCCGGTAACAAAAGCCATTATGTGGCGCCAGCCTCCGAGCAGACATCACACCATTCATGCTGTGCAGGAGGGAAAAAAAACTACGAGACGGCATCAGAGGAAAGCTTCTCTCCGTGTCCTCCTCACGTCTTCATCCATCACGTTTACGGACTTCTGGCCTGAAACACGGCGCGTCGGTGCGACAGAAGCACCGGCGACGGACGGCAGCTCCACTTAATGTTCACGTCCAGAGACAGACGCCATGTTTACCCAGCTGGTCGTTGTCTGGTCAGGTGATCAAACCACCTCCCATCTGAAGGAAAATCCACCCATAAGCTGACATTTTACAACCGCGCTGAAGTCAGCTTCCTGTTCGAGAGTTAAGGGGAAAGTTAAGGGGAAATTCAGCTTCCAGCGAGTTTCCCCTTAACTTCCCCTTAACTGAACGACCGATTTTCTGTTTTATAGCATTTTAATGATGTAAAATGATGTTTTAAACATTCAGATGTCCTTGATAAGACCTTAATGCTTTCTAAAAGTCTCTTTCATATTTATGAAATCTTTTTTTTATTTGTGAACATTTAATTAAGGGAGATTTCACTACATCATTCACAGATAAAGGTTTCATAATTTAGAAACTGTTAAAAGATTCTTTAGCTTTGTGGAACAACATAGTCTAGATTTGACCTCTCTCTCTCTCTCTATATATATATATATGTATGTGTGTGTGTGTGTGTGTGTGTGTGTGTGTGTGTGTATGTTTTAGATCTAAAACTGGCATAATGTGTTTTTTTTTTTAAAAAGCTGAAAATCTGCCTATTTTACATTTTCACAAATAAGCAGATTTTTCAATTAAAAGTGGGTTTAGACAGCATTATGGGTTTACCTACAACATCTAACGGGTTTTTAGACTACTGAATGTGCCTTAATTTTTCCCTTAACTTACAAACTGAAACTAACTTCATCATAGTTTCTCATCTGCTGATTGGATGGCTGCTGTGATTTCAGGGTTTGAGAAGGTAAAGCAGCAACTTCACCCACGATAATGTAAAAATATTTGACTCTTTGCTCTTAACAGATGATGTACAAGACGTTAAACTCACATTCTTTGTCAGTTTTACAGCTAAGGAGGACATTTGTCTTTGCTTCTTACATTTAAAAAAATCCAGTTAGTTCCTGATACTTCTTAGCATGTTTTATTATGTAGTTTGTTTGGGTTTTTTTTTTTTTTTTAGATTTTTTTGATTTGGAAAGCTGACTGTTTGCAATTTATACAAGTTTGATTTACATTGAGCATGCATGAGCGCTGAATTATTTACTATAATCAGCCAAAAGGAGTCATATTTAAATATGAATATGTTCTTAACTGTAGAATGTAAAATCTTCTTTGGTTCCTTAAAAGAAAAAAATACCACAGACATTTCCTCAGGCTGCTCAGTGGTAGTTAAAGGTCTTATAGGTTAAATGAGACAGCAAAATGTAAATTCTGATTTCACTAATAGCCGTCGAACAGTACATTTTACATGATCATTTATCATTTACTCATATTTTTATAGTCAAGATGCATTAACAGTGACACAACTTGTAGACAATTGTACATTTGAATGCACGTATTGGATTAGTTTTGTTTTACTCACACGTTTCGGCAACGGCACCGGTTTACGACAGTATTACGACCATGTTTACGGCAGTTTTTGACAGGCAGGCGCGGGTTTTGTAAACAGCTAACTGTGCCGCTGTTGGTGTCGCGTCCTGGAAAGTTTTTCATTAGCAATTCGTCAAGATTTTTCGGTATTTTTCTATTTAATTTGTATCGTATTTGTGGGAAGTGAAGTCAGTCAGCGGGTGACAACTTTTTTATCCTTCAGTACCAGTTTGTGGGAGCGGGTGTCATGGCTCCAGCTAGCCCCGTCAGCTAGCCCCGTCAGCTAGCATGTCACCCTGGAGGAGAGACGGCGGCGGTGAAGCTGGCTGGAGGGGCAGCTGCTTCATGTGAGAGCGGCCAGGTATGCTAGTACTGCACCTCTTCCGGAGATCTTCGCTTCTACAGCGGTCAGGGGTCCAGCGGAGGTGTTTCTGCGCGGCGCTGGGTGGCAGGTGTCCGGACACGACGCAGGAGGCAGAGATGATCCGGAGCCGGGCTCAGATCAAGAAGGTCCTCTGCGTAGCCGAGAAGAACGATGCAGCCAAAGGCATCTCCGAGATCATGTCCGGCGGCACAGCCAGGAGGGTCAGTCCTGTTTCTTCACCACCAAAACGCCTTAATAAGATAAGATATCCCTTTATTAGTCCCACAGTGGGTCAATGTGCAATGTCACAGCAGCAAAGACTGTTGAAGAAGAAGAATGAAAACAAACCAAAGTATACACAGATACTAGTTCTAACAGAGCTTTTATGATCAGTCTGTGGACAGTAAGCAAGTCTTTAATGGAGCAAACATGACTAATAATCCGTCTCACAGTCCTGAAATGTGTGGATTCAGGTTTTCTGTTAAACTGTTTGAAATCATGAATATGTATCTGTGGGACTGTTGGTCAGACAAAACAAGCCATATGAAGAGATCACCGAGGGTTGTGATCACTTATCATGAACTCTCTGTTTTTGTGTGTGTTGTCTTTTGTGTTTTTGGCCACATTGAATTGCATGAGACCTTTACGAATACTTAGTTATACGTAATTTGTCGTACAACATCCAGTTGGACACCAATTTCACAAACACAAAGATGAAACAAATCAACTCAACTGAAACAGAAACTACTACAGTTTGATTTCACTTCTATAAAGCTGGCCAACTTTTATGAAGCCCAAAACCACTAATTTTACATTTTCTACAACAGTCTGCCGACAGACAGCATCCTCTGGTCGTGTCAGTCTGGATTAATGCTGAAATGAATAATCAAATTTCAGCTAATGAGTGGCCAACTATTAGCAGTTAATGGTTTGCGTAACATTCCTTCATCCAGCCAGTGATATAAGAGAAATCACGAGTAGCTACCACGGTATAAACAGCACAGCGAGATCTGACAGACAACTTTACACTGTGTTGTGTTTCCATAATGTATGTCATCATGTTGCCCATCTCAGCACTCTATCATGTTATCTGGACAATATAATCGAATTCAACAGACCTCCACCTAAAACCAAAGCCTTAAAGTTACCGTGGAGTTGACCTCCTATCCACTGAATAAAAAAACATTTGGAATGCCGTTTTGTCGTCCAACCAGATCCTACAGTCCACGAAAGAAAGCCATTCAGTCATCAAGCATATTGAGTAACCTCTTCCACCAACTGGCACTACGTATTTTCCTTTGAGCTTAAAAATCAGCTCATGTTACTACAAACGGTTAGCACCGTCACCTCACAACTAGAAGGTCGCCGGTTGGCGTCCCGGTGAGGACACCCGGGATCTTTCTGCGTGGAGTCTCCATGTTCTCCCCGTGCAGCGTGGGTTCTCTCCGGGTTCTCCGGCTTCCTCCCACAGTCCAGAAACATGCTGAGGTTAATTGGTGATTGTAAATTGTCCGTGGGTGTGAATGTGAGTGTGCTTGGTTGTCTGTCTCTAAGTGTAGCCCTGTGATAGACTGGTTACCTGTCCAGGTGAACCTGCCTTCACCCTGAGTCAGCTGGGATAGGCTCCGCCCCCCATGACCCTAGTGAGGATGAAGGTGTAGAGATGATGGATGGATTACTACAAATGATAAATCTGTGGTTGTTCAGGTGCTGATCACACTCTCTTGTGTTTCAGAGGGAAGGAATGTCAAAGTTTAATAAAATCTACGAGTACGAATATCATCTCTTCGGTCAGGTAAGCAAACACAGTAAAATAATTCAATCTGCAGACATGTGCTCGATTCTTCTGTGTGTTTACATTGATTTCCCTCCACGCTGCAACAGAATGTGACAGTGACCATGACGTCAGTATCAGGTCATCTACTGGGCATGGAGTTCAAAGCACCGTTCCAGAAATGGTAGGTTTAGACGTATTCTTTGGTCTCATACAGTATCACACCTAACAGCTGACACTGACTGTGTTTGGACCCTTTTCTCTCCAAAGGCACAGCTGCAATCCTGTGCTGCTGTTTGACGCAGAGGTGGAGAAGTATTGTCCAGACAACATGATGCAAATCAAGGTATGTTTATTTTCTGTCAACATGTGGGATATTTCACTGGATGACTCTTCAACCCGTCTGACCTTCTGTCTTTCCTTTCCTCCGTCGTTCTTTTCTCTCTTTTCTCCATGCCTTCCTTCTCTGTAGCGGACTCTAGAGAAGGAGGTGAGGCAGTGCCAGGCCTTGGTCATATGGACGGATTGTGACAGGGAGGGAGAAAACATCGGATTTGAAATCATAGACGTTTGCAAAGCAGGTATCGTATTAATACTTGTGTATTCCTGTTGTAGCTGTGTGAGCGCCAGTGACTGTGAATCTAAACACCTTTTGAAAAGTAATGAATGGATATTTAGTGATCAGGAGTTTGACATTTTGGGAAACTTGCCACTGCAGCCGACCTGGGTTTGAATGAGTGTGTGAGACCAGGACGTTCTGTCATGTCTAACTTCTTTACCGAGTCATCATTTTACATAGAAATACTGCTGAATTCACAGCCTAGATATTTAGTTTACCTCCGTGTTTGGTTGGTTTGTCAGAACAAGTTGCACTTCCAAAACCAGTAATTTAGCAAAACATCAGCCTGGAAATGGCTCCAACATGACTGCAGTCTAACTCGTAGTCTTTAATGGACGGCGTTTCAGCCACTGTTCCACACTGGTTCTGTTGTCAACAACACAGACACAACTATCTGTATTAAATCTGTGTATGTACAGAGAGCAGGAAAGAAGCTAACAGATATAAACACCGGCTGAGTTTAGATTGCACAGTAACCCGCCCAGTTCTTGTTTGTTGCTTTCAAATCTTTTTATACAATTTCCACCATCTCTAAATGTCCCTAAACTTTACAGTTTCCCCAGAGCTCTAACCTGTGGGCATACCATAAAATATAACTGCAATGTCGACCCCATTAGCCGCACAACGCGTTAACACAAAGGATTTGTTGTTGTTGTTGCCGTCAGAAGCAAAAGTAATCCACTCAGTGTTTAGTTCCTCAGATGCTAGGCGTGTATGAAGACTCTCGTGTGCTTTGCTCGTGGCTGAGACATTTTCAAGTTAGTAGAAGCAGCTCTAGAAAGTAAACAAACCCGGTGAGAGGCTGCAGCTCATTCTGAGTAGTTCATCTGGAGGCAGTGAGGGGCTTGTGTTGATGATTAGTGTTTACAGTAGAAGCTAAAAAATTCTTGCTGGCTTGAATTTGGGAGGACATCTATTTAAGGGGGGAGGCTAGAGGAATAAGAGAGCTTTTATTTTACACCTCCAAGGTTTTAAAAACAATGTGCAAAACACAATAAAAATGGCAAGTAGCTCTCAGTAAGTGAGTGAACGCGCTTATTTCTCAAGACGTCAAGCTAACATGAACACCACTGGCATTCATAATACTGGTGAAGTGATATCGATCTAAAGCAGTGTGCAGAATTATAAATTCTTCAGGTTTTGTGTTCATCTGTCCACAAAAGGCTCCTAATAATAGCATGTGTGTATGTGTTTTTTTTTTGTTTTTGTTTTTTAGTAAAGTCAAACATACAAGTCTTTCGGGCCAAGTTTTCTGAGATCACACCCAACTCAATTCGGAGAGCTTGTGAAACTCTCCTGGAGCCGGATGTTAATGTCAGCGATGCTGTTGATGTCCGCCAGGAGCTGGACTTGCGGATAGGTAAGGGTGCAGAGAAAGAAGTTTTGAAAGACATTCTTTTGAGTATCATGGGATGGCTCGACAATGTGTAGTTTAGCAAAATCAAAAATCTGAATATTGACCTTGCTTGATGCCGTTTTACCCACAACGCTGGTGGCGCTGTTTGTCTGACGCGTATCATGGAATGGAAAACCCTGTACTCCTCTTTCCTTTTACAGGTGCATCCTTCACCCGATTCCAGACGCTTCGCCTGCAGAAGATCTTTCCAGCGTCCCTGGCCAATCAGCTAATCTCATACGGCAGCTGTCAGTTTCCCACTTTGGGCTTTGTGGTGGAGCGGTTCAAAGCCATCCAGGCCTTCATACCGGAGACTTTCTACAAGATCAAAGGTGCAAATTCATCCACGCTCAGACCCAGAAGTCTAACGGAGATGCGAGAATTTAGGGTTTAAAAGGATGATCACCTCTCTCCTGCCTGTTTGTTGTTGTGTCAGTGCTGCACGAGGTGGAGGAGGACTCTGTGGAGTTCAACTGGAAAAGAAACCGTCTGTTCAGTCACACAGCTTGTCTGGTGCTCTATCAGATCTGCATGGAGGTATGTGCCTGTTTGTGTGTTTTTAACTACATTAACATGTGTAATTATGAATCTGTGTCTTTGAATTTTATGTTGCATTAAATTTGTCAAATAGTTCAGATCAAAACAGTTAGACTCAGTTACTGAAATCCTCTTAGCAGATTTATCTACTGTAAGTTATTATAAAACAACACTTAACCTTGTCAGTATCATCAGTGATTCTCATTCTGTAATAAAGGTTAATAATAACACAGCCACAATCATTATCACCCACACACCCTGTACATGTACAGTAGCCGTTCTGTTTTGGTTTATCTGATATTCTTTTTGTTGATCCAGCCTCAACATCTTTTCTTTTTTTTAACCTTGTGCAGCTTCACTGACTGAATGCAGGAAAGAGGTGTCATCTGTCACAGAACAACACTTTGAAAGCAAAGCTGATTCTGACGAGCCTTTTAATTACCACTTAGCTGTTGTCACTGGTTCCCATTGAGCAAGATTTGAGTATCAAATGGAAAACTCACATTAAGGCAGACTAATGCTTTGTGTACACCGAGGCTACACGTGAATAAAGTAGTAAAGCTGCATGATGTGTAGGCCATCTCAACTCCACTAAACCTTTAGATTCTTCAGGTCATTGCTTGATTTTTTGTCTTGTACTGACAGAATCTATTATTCTGGTAGATTAATCGTAGCTGGACTTGCTTGAGTTCCTTGAAGACGTTCTATCCAAGAGGCTCCATCAGTTCTGACTGACTAGCTGGGAGTTCCACATACTGATATCCTGAAGGAGCACCGAATATGCTGATATTCATCATTAACTGGGCCTGAATATCCGGAGAGCAGAAAGTTTTATTGGGACCAGCCCTACTAGTTATTATAACAACTATGAACAATAATTGACAACTAATGATCCTTCCAGCATCAAGCCCTCCTCGTATCTGGACCTCCGTCTTGACAATCCGACAGCCTTGCTATCCGACATAGAAGAAGGTTTTACATTTAGTGTCGGATCATTGAGTCACGTCTGTACATTCACACTGGAACGCCCATAGCATCATGTGAGAGGGAATATGTCTTGACATCATATTATTTTGATCATTTTAAATTTACAAATTTGTGTAATTACTTCATATAAATCCAAAATACGATATTAGTTGATTGTGTGTGCGTGCGCTGCGTCCTGATGTTTGTGGATCTACATGTGTATAAACACCACTACTATTTTAAAAGGGTTTTTGACCTGCAGAGATAAAGTGGATTAAAAGCCACGTGTAAAAGCAGAATATCATTTCATTCACTTGCAGGATCCCATAGCAACCGTCACCTCAGTAACCAGCAAACCCAAGAGTAAATGGAGACCGCTGCCTTTGGACACTGTGGTAAGAATATGAGGTTAAACAGCTGCACACACACACACACACACACACACACACAGACATGATACACACTGCATCATACTTACACATTTGTTTATGGTCTAAGATGTTTGCAGTTTGTTTTCTAGCACAATAGAAAGATAGACTTTGTCCTGCTCATGTTTCCCCATTTCCATCAGTCCTCTGCTTTTGTCTGACCTACAGGAAATGGAGAAACTGGCATCTCGGAAACTAAAGATCAATGCCAAAGAGGCCATGAGAATTGCAGAAAAACTCTATACCCAAGGGTGAGTGTGAGAACGTTTGAATAAGAGCTGCTGAGGTCATGTGCTTACAGTCATGTCTGGATGTGTTTGGACACAGCTTTCATAATCTTATCTCTGTCCACGACCACAGCGGGACTGAAACGAAGCAATCGAGGTGTGATTGAAGTGCAGACTGTCAGCTTTAATTCAAGGGGTTTCACAAATATAATGCATTAACTGTTTAGGAGCTACAGACATTTTTACATAACCACCTCCATCATGACTTGAAGCAGTTTTCTGACCACATGTGGTCTTGTTTTCTTCTGATCCATGACAAATTAAGGAGATAAAAGGTCTGGTGTTGATTGTAAGTGTTGAATTTGCATTTGCAGGCATTAACTGTGTTGGAATTACAGCCACATGTTTCTTTAGTCCCTCCATTTTCAAAGGCTCAAGAGCAATATGACTTAATTATAAATAGAAGCATTACACTTTGATGCAAATCTTTTGGCTGCTTGAAGTCTAGAACCCAAGGACATCACCAAATCCTGAAGTTCTTCCCTTGAGGTGCTTCACTGAAGCTGCCTTCAGTTGGTCCATGTTGAAGCTAGGGAGGTAGTCCCGATGCCAACTGGTCCATTGGGTGGTTATGAGACTCAAATCCGACCAAATTCTTATTGGTCCTGGAAAGTGCTTCATCAGCAGCCCTCCAGGATTAATCCAGATGTGTTCGTCAGCAGGAGGAACAGACTACCTGTGAAAAATGTTTTCACGACTTTGAGCTGTCACAGCCTAATGGAGACTGCTAAGTCTGACTCATGTAAAGTGGCGGGTAGGTAGAGCCGGTTGTCCTCCAATCACAAGGTTGGCGGTTCGATCCCCCGCCCGGCAAGACACTGAACCCGGAGTTGCTCCCGATGGCAGGCAGTACCTTGCATGGCAGCTCTGTCGCCATTGGTGTATGAATGGGTGAATGAGAAACACATTGTACAGCGCTTTGGGTACCACTAAGGTAGAAAAGCTATACAAGTGCAGTCCATGTAAAGTCTCCTGACTGATTGGCACCAAAGAAGGCGTCTGTTTGGCTGCATTTTGTTGGCCAAAAAGTCGAGTGTAAACTTTGTAAACAGCTGTTTGTAAATCACAGCTCAACAGCTAGCGTGGCATGTCATGTAACCGGAACAGTAACTTGTCAGTTTTCGTGTTAAACTCTTGAGACGTTCGTTGTGAACACATCAGAAATATTTCTAAGCCTGTGTAAGAAAATGTCTGTAATTCCTAAACAGTTTTACATTTTTGTTAAAGCTCTTGTCATGAAGCTGAAAGTCTTCACTTCAATGACATCTTGATTGCATCAGTTTGAATCCATTGTGTACAGAGACACGGTTTAATAAAAGTAAATGAAAAGACCATCTGGCAGTTCAGGCATCTGGTGGCTGAGTTCAGCAGTAATGTCATATTTTAATAGCATTCCCTCTGTCTGTGCATGTTTGCGTGAAGATGACTTTCTGTGTTTTCTTCCTGTTGCTCAGGTTTATCAGCTATCCCCGCACAGAGACCAACATCTTTCCTGCGAACCTGGCTCTGGCCCCCCTGGTGGAGCAGCAGGCACAAAGCCCAGACTGGGGGACGTTTGCCCAGCGGGTGCTTGACCAGCCGGGGGGTCCCAACCCACGGCAGGGCAAGAACTCCGACCAGGCCCACCCTCCCATACACCCCACCAAGTACACCGGCACGCTGCAGGTAGGAATGCAAGGAGTGGAGCTGAGTTAGAGCACATGAACCCCTCACGTATCTCCTTAATGTCCGATTTTTTTACTGTCCAGGGATATAATATGTCTGTACTGCATGTTGCATAAACCCTTCCTAATTATTTGCAGTTAAAATGTGTGTGTTTTAAACACATTTAGTCAAAACAACCATTTCCTAATAATATATGCAGTTGCTGACTGGCAGTCTGTAGCCGGAGCTATTATGTCTTCATGTTGTTCCTCATGATCGTTGTATCTTTTGAATTCCTTGAGAGAAATTTTTTAAATTCGGCACAAAAGTTCCCTTGAATTTGAGGTTCATCCTCACTGTGACGTCACAATGCAAAAACAATCTACAGGCCGTTATTCATCACTGTAACTCAGGACCAGGACAAGAGACTGTCACCACATTTCACATGCTAACCTTTGTGATGCTAACCTCGGGTGCTCACCTGCTAAATCCCATCTAAGTCTTTAATTATACTACGATATATTAGAAGAGTCTGGGCAGACATAGATGTAAACTGGTTCAGGGAGGCACACAAACGCAAGGCGCTAATTCTAGATTCATATCATGATGGAAAGCATCAGCCCAACGGTTAAATGCATCGCCTAGAATGGCAATAGTATCTTGCATTCATAATAGATCATTTTGGAAATCTAGTAAAAACACTGATCAGGGCAGGAAAGAGATCTTTTTCCCTCCTTTTTTAAAATTAAAGACTATGGCATGATCTCTGTGTACATGGTCCGAACACAAACACAGAGAGTAAAAATTGTCTGTTTCGATTCTTTTCAGGGCAACGAAGGACGTCTGTATGAGTTCATTGTCCGGCACTTCTTAGCCTGCGTATCCCAGGATGCTTTGGGGCAGGAGACTGTGGTGGACATAGACATCGCTCAGGAGAAGTTCTCCACCTCTGGACTCATGATCATTGCAAGGAACTACCTGGATGTTTACCCCTATGACAAGTGGAGCACCAAGGTACAGTGTGTGTCTGTTAAAATGAACTCTTTGAAATAACAAAGCCCACTTTACACAATTTATTCTTCCTTTAAAGAGTTAACTGCCAGTCTAAAAGCTTTACAAATAAACAGCTACTGATAAAGTTCAGTCTTGTCTTCATTCATTAATACAAGCTGCCTTGTGGCTCGTGCTGCCTGTAGGTGATATGTTTTACTGTCTCTGTTTTGTAGGTGATCCCAGTGTATGAACAAGAATCCCAGTTCCAGCCCTCTGCTATCGAGATGGTGGACGGACAGACGAGTCCTCCGCAGCTGCTCACCGAAGCCGACCTCATATCGCTGATGGAGAAACACGGCATCGGTAAGTTCAAGACATGTTTCTAATGAGTGTGTGTGACTTGGACAGCTTTAAAATCAACTCATATATAACTTCTGAACATGTTAGAAATAAGAAAATGTTGTCAGAGTCACACAGAAATCTGATTTTACAGTAATTCTGTCAGTAAAAGCAAATGAGCAGCTTTGTTGAGTGAACTTATGTGAACTGTGTTGTGTTAACTGTGTGTATTACAGGCACAGATGCAACCCATGCAGACCACATTGAGACCATAAAGAGCCGCATGTATGTGGGTTTGACAGCCGACCAGAGGTTTCTCCCTGGAGAACTTGGCATGGGACTGGTGGAGGGTATGTGCACACATACTGTACATACCAAACTTTAGTGCAGACTTTAAAGGTGCTGTACACGACATTCACATTCACTAGAGCGTCATCTTTTCAGGACACCGTTACTCTGCTATATCTCTACATAACAGACAGTCGTCTGCTGCTATTTTTATGCTATATTATTGTTTAATATCTCGAACAGTAAATCCACAGAGATGTCAATAAGCTTCCTTCTGTCGTTGCCCCGTCACTCAGTTCTGCTAACTGTCAAGCTTGTGTTTGTTCAGGGTATAATTCCATGGGCTATGAGATGTCAAAACCAAACCTCCGTGCTGAGTTGGAGGCGGACCTGAAGCTGGTGTCAGAGGGCAGGAAAGACAAACGGAGCGTGCTGCAGCACCACATCCAGAAATACAAGAGCGTCTTCATTGAGTCCGTCAGGAAGGCAAAAAAGTTAGTGACGCTGTAGCTTGTAGTGAATGTGTGTACGAGGTGTGTCTGAAAAGTTCCAGGACTGGTGTCACAAAAGATATCAAATCCAAACATCAAACTACCAGTTTTCCCCTTCCAAGTAATCCCCTTGGAGTCTAACACACTTCCCCAGCCTTCTCTTCATGCCGCCATGCACTCCTGGAAGGATTCTTACAGGATCCTCTTAGCTCCGTCCTCACAGCCATCTTGATGTCGTCCACGTCTTCTAAGCGGGTCTCCTTGATGAGCCCTTGAGCTTGGGGGAGAGGAACCAACCCCACGGAGCCAGGTGGGGTGAGTAGGGAGGAGATGTTCTTCTCAGCCAGGAGCTGTGGGATGCTCAGGGCGCTGTGAGCAGGTTGTCATGGTGAAGCAGCCTCCACTGGTCCTGACACAACTCTGCCTCTTCTGGACGAAGCAAACGCTGCAGGACCTCTGTAGACGAGCTGGTTGATGGTCTGAAGGGGAAACTCCTAGTTTGGGTTTGAAAAAGAACTTTTGTGCCACCAGTCCTGGAACTTGTCTGACAAACCTCGTATATCTGATGCTCGCTCTACAGCCACATTAGCAGAAACCACGTCGTACTTCACAGCGATGGATTAGTTACACCTGCTTCCTTTTGTTGCCTCAGGTTAGATGAAGCTCTGTCACCATATCTGGGTGCAGCTCAGGAGATCCCTGAAGCTCAGGAGCAGGACATGGAGATCCCGCTGCCGGTGAGGAAGTGCCCTAACTGTGGCCGGGACATGGTGCTGAAGAAGAAGAGGGAAGGAAACAGGTGAGATGACACAAAGAGTAGCGTTCTTTAGTAAGTTTAACCTAATTCTGCCTTTCTTCTGACCTCCCTCAATATGAGACACATGTTTCTGTCCACACATTACAGGACAATAATGCACCTTTTCCACATTTTAGCTTATTATCTACACATCAATATGACCCAAGTCACAAAGGAGCTAAACTCAGATCTGAGCATGAAACCTGCCAGAGAAAACCGTTTTCTTATGCTTAAGTTTCAGGACTGGCTGTCGGTGGAATCTGCTCTGTTGACACCATTCTTTGGATCTCCTGCTACCCGACATTAACAATTTCTTATTTTATAATTTGCCAAAAAAAAATAAAATAAAGCATTTGCACCAGATCCTGCAAAAAAATTAAACAAAAAAAATCTGAAGTCCTCACTTTGCACTTTAAAAAAAGCTGTGCGTGTGGATTGTAGGTTTAAATAATCAACTGTTATTTTTCATTTTAGTTTGTATTGGTGCTCTGGTGGGCTGATAAATGAATAAATAACTAATAACTACAAATCAACTGCATGTTATCTTAGATTTCTTCTTTTTTAGTGAGTCATGAAAGTAATTTGGAAGAGATTTACATATTTTGTGATGAGTAGTCCAACACAGTAATCATCTAGAGGCTTTGTTTATGTTACAGGTGTGGATTTATTGTGGTAGTAACGGACAGTGATGTAGTTCCTCTTTGGTTCTGCAGCATCACTGAGTCCAACAATCTGTGTAATTTAAACTGTTTTCCTTTAAAGCTGCAATGTTTGTTGATTGATTTTGGGGTTTCACTTTCTTACCATGCAGCTCATAAAAAAGGTACCAACAAGCAGCAGCTTTTACAACAGGATACATTCCATAAAAAATATATTATGGCGAGCAAACATTCAGTGTGCTGTGTTAAATGTGAAGCTGACGGTCTTAATGTTCCACCATAACAATCTGAATGTGGATTTTGTCTTCGAGGCAAAAGCAAACAAAAGTATACTTTGGAAAATCTGTTGTGAATCTGCTTAAACTGTTTTAAAATACCTTGTTATTCTCTTTTTTTCCCCTCTCGTAACTCTATGTCAGGGATCTCCAACTCCGGTCCTCATGAGCTGCTGTCTTGCAGGTTTCCAACAGCTTGTTGTCAAGTTCTACACAAGTCTGTTAATGATCCATTAGTGTGAGTCAGGTGTGCTGCAGTAACGTCTAAAACCTGCAGGACAGGAGCTCAGGAGGACCGGAGTTGGAGATCCCTGCTCTGTGTGCATCTTCTCTGCTGACATTTAACTGTTTTACCTGCTCTGTGTCTCCCCCTGCAGTAAATTCTTGTCATGTGTGGGATACCCGGCCTGTAAGACGGCCGTGTGGTTTCCTGACGTGGTGCAGGAGGTCAGCCGAGATGACAGCGTTTGTCCCACCTGTCAGCCGCACCCCGTACACATGTGAGTGTTGGTTTAATGCCGAACATGTTGCCTGGTCGTCACACGGAGCCGTGCACGTTACAGCACTGAGAGACATTCGAATCGCTCTGAAATGAGTCATTTTCAAGATGATGATTCACTCGTCAGGTCTAAGTTCAAACTGTGATGACACGGAGGATGCTGTGCATGAAAAATCATAACTTTCATATGATTAGACGTTCACATATTTTGTGAATGAGATGAAATGAGAAACATTCAGCTCTACTAGGCTGCAAGTTTGTAATTTAGAATGACATTTAAAACCACAACCAAACACGATTATCTGCTTCGAGAGAAAAAAAAGTTTCCCATCAGAGCGAGTGGTGAAACATGATCATCTCTATGAAGAAAGTAATTATGCACACGTTGGTTTTTTAAAAAGCATTTCCCCAAAGGTTTCGTAGCGTTGCACTTGGTTTTGGCAAGTTACAAAAATATTTGGACCCAGCCTGGAGCTGTGTGCACTATGTGACTGACTCACAAATGGCCCAGTTAAAGGATAATGACACATTAAAGACTCCAGAAATGCCCGCGTGGCCGCAGACTCTTCACACACATGGACTCCATTGTGCAGGGTTGCATTCCGGCTCTGTCTGTTGCGACACAGCGATTTAGAGGGTGCCCACCAGCGTTGTGGAGCTGCTCACATTTATGCAAATGTCCTCTGATGCAATGCGAGGGACAAACAGGTAAGAGCCAGTTGCACTTTCTTTTTTTTTTTTTTTTTGATTCACACAGAAAGAGACTCAAAGACCTGTTTGTTCGTCCGTTCCACCAGAAGAGTTGGGATACTGTCAGTGCAGATACAGACCTGCAATCCCTCCAGATTGAATTAAAACACTTTCAACACTAGAAAAGTAAAAACAAGACAGAAAATAAAGTTATTCTGAACTTGGGAAACAAGTTTTGTAACAGCAGCTTCTTTCATGTGCAGTACAGCCACTACTGTCCAGTTAGAGCTCTGAAGACGTGTCTGCTTATGTATGAACACAGCGGTCTCTTAATCGGTCTCTTGTGAGTCCAGAACTTTATGGAAATGTACTCGTAAATCTCTACAGTACATCCAGAAACTTGAAAGATTTACTAAGGAGAAGTACATTTCAATACAAGAGGTGATCAAAAAGTTCTGATGCTGTTGTACTCCATGTTCACGGAGCATGTCACAGTCTAATGTGAGCAGGAAGTGTCAGGAAACACCACGTTGTCAGCAGTCGGATATGTGTCACATGTAGGTTTGCGATTTCTCCACGGAGCCCAAACTGGAAGCATCATCTTGTGTGTTTGTTAAAACCGGACATGTTCCGACTTTCATGAGGAGGCTTACCAGCCGTGATGGGAGGTGGGTCTGCGGCGGCCACGGAGAGAAAAACCAGCCGCTGTCACAGTGAAAGAGCCCACAGTTTCCAAAACCACACCACAGACATGTGGTCAGGAGCACCAGGAGAATGTTTGTTGTCTTATTCAACATTTACATAATCGTGCGTTGTGACTTTATCCCCCAGCGTCTGACAGTCAATGCAGAGCTCTACTGTAACGTCTCAGGTAGTGAGAAGGAGAGCATTTGGTGCAAGTGACCTGAACTGTGGCGCAATGAGCTCCAGTGCGCTGTGCACATTGTAGTGATTACACATAGGTGGTTTGGTCACAACAACACAACCGTTGCTCTCCATTCGCCCCTCTCACTACATCTGGCTCTCTGCGACTTCCCCCTCTTCGCAAAATGAAACCGTAGTTAAAGGGTCACCATTTTGCTGCAGGTGTCTCAGTGGTTAGCACCATCGCCTCGCAGCTAGAAGGTCGCCGGTTGGCGTCCCGGTGAGGACACCCGGGATCTTCCTGCGTGGAGTCTCCATGTTCTCCCCGTGCAGCGTGGGTTCTCTCCGGGTTCTCCGGCTTCCTCCCACAGTCCAGAAACATGCTGAGGTTAATTGGTGATTGTAAATTGTCCGTAGGTGTGAATGTGAGTGTGCTTGGTTGTCTGTCTCTAAGTGTAGCCCTGTGATAGACTGGTTACCTGTCCAGGTGAACCTGCCTTCACCCTGAGTCAGCTGGGATAGACTCCAGCCCCCATGACCCTGGTGAGGATGAAGGTGGAGAGATGATGGATGGATGGATGGATGGATGGATGGGTTGCCATTTTGACACAGTTCAAGAGATCCAGCTCCTGACAGGATGGTGTTTGACATGTTTATGAAACTGAACTTCCAGGGAGCGTTGCAAACTTTGCAGACGCACATAAAGTGTTGGTTCGCTGCATAAGGGGATGAGGACAGTCGCAGAATGTAAATCAGACCTACTTTTTGATTTTAATAGGAACAGTCTCTAGTTCCTCCTGCACCTTGTAATGTCTTCTAATCAAGTTAAACAAGGACAGTTAACTGCTGTCAGGTTGTTATGGTGGACTGTTGCTGATTTGTTCATCAGATGCTCCTTTTTTCAGCTGCTAGTTGTTAAACTAACCTGTTGAACAAATACTGATTTGGAATAAATGCTCTTATAGATTGGTTTGAACCTTACTGCACCACTGACTGAGGTTCAGTGTGTCCCGCATTATGAGAGCTTGTTAAAGACTCCTTTGTCCACATCGTTTTCCTCTCAGCACAGTTCAAACCTTTAGTAACGAGGCACACATAACCTATAAAAAATAAAAAAAGACGTCGTCCTTTTCATGGTCATTTCAGTGCCGAGTGCCTTCAGAGCCTTATTTTGCAGCCTCAGCTGTGCAAACAGACGATGAACACGCTGAAGCTCTCAGTGGCCTCAGCGATGCAAAAAAAAAAAAAAAAAGTCAAAATTCTTGTTTACACCAGTGGGCGTTAACCCCTTGAGCACGTGCCTCAGCTCAGTCCAAATATAGGGCGCACTCGCAAGCAGCGAGCCAAAGTGCTCCACACCAGCATCTGTTACCATGGCAACCAATCTGGTACAGGGCTCAAAGTTGAGTTACAGCATTTATTCTAAAACAATATCAGTGTGGTTTTTTTTTTCTAATCAGATTTCACCCAGCAGCTTTCAGTTTGTTGGATAACTTCAGATGCTGTTAGCAGAATCTGTGTGCAGCAGTGAACTCATGCTTTCTGCCGCAGCCTTGCTTGTCGCCACGGCAACTTGCTGTATTATACCAACTTTTGTCTTACACACACGCATTTTGAAAACTCCACTTTCTGATGGACTGTTTATCTCCATCCTCAGTCCTGTGTTTAACGGTTGTGTATTAACATAACAGCTTTTTTGTGTTTTAGTCCAAACATCTCCTCCTGCTTCACGCACTGGGCTGAAGGACACGACCCAAAGTCTTGTAATTATATTTTATACCATGATGTCAGGTTGTGTAATAATTCTATGACCATAATTGTGGCTTTAAGTAGATTGGCCTTATCGAATTTACCTAAATATTTTGGATTTGGGAATCCAAATGTCTTACTTTCATTTTTGTCTGTGAAGTTCATATGTTTTTTTTACAGTTGTTTTTTGAGCTCTGTCAGATTAGCAGGCTGACTCCTGTGTGTCCTGCCTTCCTCAGGTTGAGATTTAGGTTCCGCAGGGGCAGCCTCCCTCCCATGATGCCTCTGGATTTTGTCGGCTGCATCGGCGGCTGCGATGAGACGCTCAGAGAGGTGCTGGACCTGAAATACCTCAGAGCAGCGGGAGGAGGAGGAGGAGGTGGTGGTGGTGGTGGTGGAGGGGATAGAAGAGGAGATGACCGTCTTCCACCACCTCAGAGGCCCCCCAGACAAGAACCACCCAGAGCCCCGAGTTTCAATCCTCAGCCTGTCCGCTCCTGGACGCCACACCCAGGACCTCCCACGGGCTTCAGCGGCGTGAGTCCAGACTCCAGCGGTGATGTGATTGTATGTAACTGTGGACAGGAAGCGCTCCTCCTGACTGTGCGCAAAGACGGCCCCAACCAGGGTCGCCAGTTCTACAAGTGCAACGCCGGAAGCTGCAACTTTTTCCTGTGGGCGGATCAACCGGGTCAGCAGGGAGCACCGCAGAGCCGAGGGCCTCCACTGCCGGCGCCGCGGACCTCCCAGCCTCCGAGGCCATCTCTGGGCTTCAGAAACACATCTGGGGGAGGCAGAGGGCAGCAAGTGGGCGCACAAGGACACGCGGGACAGGTGATGTGCAACTGCAATGAGGCGGCCGTGGCGCGCACGGTGCAGAAGGACGGTCCGAACAAGGGCCGGACGTTCCACACATGTGGGAAACCAAGAGAGCAGCAGTGTGGCTTCTTCCAGTGGGCTGATGAGAACGTACCTCCAGCAGGCAAGACGCACACAGAGACACATTTCATCTTCATAACACAATGCGTTCTCCTGCCTCCTATCCTAACCTTTCCCATCACGACCACACATGTAGAAGTGTCCCCAGTATGAGGGTTCAGAATTAAAGCCGGCCCATATGAGGGAATTAATACAGGCTCCACACACCAGTCAAAGGCTACAAACGGCATGTATGTTAGCGTAGCCTCACAGGACAGCTGTCATGGATCTACATCTTGTTAATAAACCAGTTTTAAAGGAACGCATTCAGTTAAAAAAGGTTTCTGGTTTCTGGTTGTGCTAAAAATAGGTCATTGAAACTGGGTACAGTGGAGCTAAATTTCAAAACTCTAAGTTGGATTTTTGTCACTGTTGATTTTGACCAAAGCTATTTGCTCTCTGAATTTTGTCTAATCTCACAAACATATTTCACGTTAGCAGAGCATCATAAACAGAAATCTGCAGCTCATATCATTTATTTTTTTGTAGTGTCTGATTGTCAGATCTGGCCTGAGTGAAACACACGATGTTTATCAGAGAAAGCAGACAAGCTGTAGCCTCAGATCGAACATCAAGGAGAGAGAGCGCTCACTCTCACCTACACCTTATTAATGGTTTAAAAAAAACCTGTCACGACTCACAAACACTGAGACCTTGCGGCTGCCGCGGCGCCTTCAGCCCCACAATAATCTGTGGTGCTTTCACAAGCGGCGACCTCTAACCTCCTCGTGTTGTTCACCCTGTCAGGTGGTCTCGGCGTTAACAGTGATGGAGATGGAGAGAGGCGGGGGAGGAGGATGACGGGAAACGGCGTCGCTAACAAACCCCCCGCTGCTCGGAAACCTCGCACCTGCGGCATCTGCCACACGCCGGGACACACCCGGGTCACCTGTCCTCAGCGCTGACCGCCGTCTCCAGATGCTCTGAAGGTTATTGCGTAACAGATTTTATTTTCAGATTGTAAGTGCCTCCTCGCCGGGAGTGGACCTGCTCCTCTACCTCTGGGATCAAAACCAAATAAATAACCCAGATACTGTTTCTGTGAGGGAACGTTTTACCAACATTGTCTTGCATTTATTATCTCTCAGGTGACCTTACAGCTGTAGCGTGCTGGCTCAGTATGAATGAATTGTCCTGGAGGAAAGACATTTAGGGTAAAATTAACCTTTTGTCCGTCTACCTGCACCTCCAAAGCTCACTGACATGCTGGTTTAATCCATACAAAAACTGAAACACTAGACTTGTAACTCCACAGAAGTGAGAAATGTATGCTGCACTGTCAAACCAACATGTCCAACTTTCATTCTACTCCTCTGTGAGGCATAAATCAAAAGACACGTTTCCCTGCGAGAGAGACAAAAAAAAAAAAGAATCTCTGAGAGATGCAGCACCGCGGCGCACACCGAGGTGCTGAACTACTTTTAAAACTTGTAGGTGTTTGTAACCACAGTAACCTGAAAGTGCTCAGCAGTTAATTGAAAATTTGCTCGGCTGGCCTTGGATCAAATTATTCCTTCGTCAGTTGTATTTCTGTGTATTCACAATTCTGACAGCCTGCCTGAGATCATCTGGAGGAGGATTCTGTCTCAGAGGCAGCGCTGTAATGTGCACACGGCTTACAGGTAATTAATAGTGTAATGAATAGTAAGTTATAACGAACTGGCTCCTGTCTTTGGTCCGTTTTACCATCAGTCAGTGTCGAGGATTTTATATTGTTGTGAAGGTTGCTGGAAGAAACGGCAGCAAACGCTTTTACACTGAACGTATGATAAGCGTGAGAAGAAAACCGTTTGGCTTTTATGTTGTTGGTCTGAAGAAGTGTCAGATTTTCATGTTCATGCTGATGAATGCTAATAAAATGTAAAGTACTCTAACCTTCTGTGGTTGTTTAGACCTCTGTTTGTGCAGCACAGACTGGATTTGCCTTTACAGTCACGACGGGTTCAGTTTAGAAATTTGGGTTTTGCTTTGAGATTTTTATTGTTTTTAATCGTGATTCAGTTAGTTTTGGTTTTGGGTTTATGTTGGGTCTTGAACTTTCAGGCCGCTAACTTTGGACAGCGTCCAAACACACAACTGTTGGGCCACTTCACATCTCTGGCTAGTCAGAGGAGCTTTACGGTCACACATCCTGTCCTGAGCGCTGATGGAAGGTTCCCTGAAGGTTCCTGCTTTCCGGTTGTCTCCAAGTTATTGCTGTACATCTTTATGACTCAACGCAACCTGAATGGTTTTACAAAAATTAACCTCAAGAGAGCATTACGATAACGTTCTCTGAAATTTCCTGTTTTCTGAGCTACACCTTCAGAAAACCTTCAGAAAACATTCCTTAAAGGCTTTTCTGTTGTTGGTCTGAAGATCTGTCAGCACCTCAGACTGTTATGTTCATGCTGATGAATGCTAATAAAAACTATTACTTTAGAGAGAAGAAGAGTTCTGTTTTCTGGGCCGTTTTTGTAAAATAATCTACAAAACTAACTTTTTGAGAACCTTTGGGGAACATTCCCTGAAGGTTCCTGTTTTCTGGGCCGTTTTTGTAAAATAATCTACAAAACTAACTTTCTGAGAACCTTTGGGGAACATTCTCTGAAGGTTCCTGTTTGCTGGGCTGTTTTGACAACAAACTGACATTTTCTTGTAAAAGTTTATAAAACAGAACCTTTAGGGAACGTTCCCTGACAGTTCCTGTGTAATCTCAATCTTGTTGCTGTGCAGCTCTGTGTCTCAGCACAATCTGGATGTTTTTACAAATCTAACCTTCAGAGAACATTAAGGGAACATTCTCTGAAGGTTCCCGTTCTCTACAATTTTCTTGCAGAAATCTATAAAACTAACTCTCAGAGAACATTCAGGGAACGTTCGCTGGGTTGTTTTTCCATCGAACTGATTTTCCTGCAGCTTTCTATTGAACTGACTCCCACAGGATCCTGCTGCAACAACAAACCGCAACTTTCTTGCAAAAGTCAACACAAGCAGTCGGAGAACGTTTAGGAAACGTTCCCTGACGGTTCCTGTGTAGTTTCAGAGTGCAGCTCTGTGTTCCGGCTCTGTGTGGATGGCTTGATGTTCCCAGAAGTGCTGCCTGCGCGCCCTGTTCTCTGGAAGCGGCTCCAGAGGAAGCCCGGAGGGGCCGGGACCAGGACGGGTTGAGCAGAAACGCATGGATTCCCGGTAGGAGCCTGTAAGTTACCCTCTTGTTTTCTTTTTTTTCCCCCTCCCTGCTGAAAGGAGCGCTGATCTTTTTACTGGCACGTTTGGTGAGTCATACGTGAGTCATAACATGTGGGTGGGAGCGAACACTGTGATCCGTCCTGCCGTGTTGTTTTTGCCGCTCCATCCAGCTCCCAACTCCGCCACGGTAGTATCCGGGCAGATAACAGTCATGTGACGGCCGTGTCTCTGCTCTGAATCGCAGCGATAACCTCCTACTTGCGGGAAAAGCGCTGCATTCATCCCGTATCTTGCTCTGATGCCGTGTGCTGCTCCCTGCAGGGTTCTTACAGGAGGAGCTGAAGTCACACCATGATGCTGGTGGACTGGACGGTACAGAGTCTGAATATAAGAACCAGTTCCACCAGCTGGAGCCTCCAAGTGGGATTAATAAAGGAGCACTGCACTAGTTTGGCACATGAAGTTGGTCCTGACTGCTCCTGTAGCTCCACACAAAGCAGTTTGTTTTTAACAGGTAACCCAGAGGATGTCCTGCTGGCGTCACCATGGTGATCCTGGATCAGACCAACATAAACTGTTTTAACATCTTCAAAATTCAAATGACAGCTTTCAACAGTGTCATTTTTAACTAATTGCATTGTCACTAGTCTACATTTTCATTCCTGTCGTTGTCACCAGTGGAGTCTCCATGTTCTCCCCGTGCAGCGTGGGTTCTCTCCGGGTTCTCCGGCTTCCTCCCACAGTCCAGAAACATGCTGAGGTTAATTGGTGATTGTAAATTGTCCGTAGGTGTGAATGTGAGTGTGCTTGGTTGTCTGTCTCTAAGTGTAGCCCTGTGATAGACTGGTTACCTGTCCAGGTGAACCTGCCTTCACCCTGAGTCAGCTGGGATAGACTCCGCCCCCCATGACCCTGGTGAGGATGAAGGTGCAGAGATGATGGATGGATTGTCACCAGCTGCAGATGTATAAAGCATCACTACAGCTGGTCTGAAGTGTTCATGATGCTGGTTTCCCACCAAAGAAGTTAAACAGCGTCCGCAGAAGATCTTTTGAAAATGCTGTGAAGTAGGAAGAGCCAGAAGTTTTAGGGAAACGAGAGCTTCGTTTATCAGTGACTCGTTGAAATTTACCACAACTTTGGCCTGGGGCTGGTTTCGTCATCGCTGTAATCCAAGATATCTGTAATTACATTTGGACCATCTGAGGGCTCTACAGTGTCATGCTGACAAACACAAACTGAATTTAAGACGTGTAAAAACGCACGATGCTGATTTCTTAAATTGGATTAAAGACATGACGACCAGCCACCATTTAAGAAACTGGACTCACCGCTAGACAGATATCTGATTAGTGATCCATCGACATGCAGTGACATCATCTGTCCTGAAACAATGACAGTGTGAGATCTGAGAGGCTCGCTTTGACCAGGAAGAACTGAATTGTGGGTATCTGCAGCTTAAAACAGCTCCTCACACACATGTCAGGATAAAATGTTAACTAAAAAAATTCTATCACAAACTTGAGGCGTAATGCAAGAAATATGTTTGTTTTAATCACATTATGGGAAATGCAGGCTGTATCGGTTCTGTAGCTCATTCATAGACTGCAGGCTCCAGCGTAGGACCAAAGTGTTGGTGGAATAAAAAGACGATCGCAGAGAAAAGGAACACATCATTTAAATGTTACAGCACTGGTGCACGTTTTGGGACGGTCCCTCCAGGAAGACGTTCACGTCGCTGCTCTCAGCTGCAAATGAAATAGTTGTGTCAGCAATGAAAAAAATACAAAATTACAGGGAAAAAAAACCAAAACAGAAAAGCTCACCCAGCTGACTTTCACACTTCGGCACAGCTGGTTAGAGGGAAGCGGTTGAGAAAGTGAGTGAAGCCTTGAACTGAGGAGTAAGAAATGAAGGATTATGGTTGAAACAAAAAATACTCTCTGAACCTTTTTGGTGGCCCAGCTTCAAGCTAAGAATGAATAATACAGTAATTAATTAATAACTAAAACATTAACATCGGCTAAAATGTGTTTGTGTTATTTCTTGTATTCTATTACTAACAGCCTGGTAATCTGATTACTTGTGGATTCTGTGCAATTTGAATGATTTCATTTTGGTTTATTTCTTTAAACACTTTATTAACCAAATGACTGTTCAGTTCATATTCAAGGTGCTTCAGCAGAACAACCAGAAACACCTACGGGTCATTTGTTTTATTATAAACTCCATAATCACCCTGAAACGATATCAGATTAGTTTTATTTTTTATTTGATAAACATGTCAGTGTGTGTTTGGGTTTATTTTTTTTAAATATAATCACAGATCTGGGAGGTCAGAGGTCAGTGAGCTCGGATCGCTCTTCAGCCCTGAGCTGTTCGTCGGCTCTTCCTGCTGTGTCATCATCATCATCATCATCATCATCATCATCCAGCTTTTCAGCGGTCGCCGTAGAAACCGTTGCCATGACACCCTGTGCCCGTAAGTGATGCAAGTGTTCCAGGTGCAGCGAGACCGCGGACCATAGAACCATATGGAAGGACAGTGTGTGTGTGCGTGCATATGCGTGCATATGTGTGTGTGTGTGTGTGTGTGTGTGTGTGCATGTGTGTGTGTGCAGAGTTACAGCAAGTTTTACTGTAAACTGATCCACACCAGCCTTGATGAAAGATAATAGGAATCTGGCGCCGAGCCTTTTTTCCACAGTAGTGACTCCAGCAGCTCTCTGAGGTGTCCCTACCTGGGGCCTGGACGACTGGGTGTTCAGGTACAGACAGGTGTGTGTGTGATTAGAGCCCATTATTACACTAGTGAACACTTTTCTTCGCTCCAGCCTGTGAGCAGTTATTATCTATACCAGTATTCTGTTCCTTTGTGGCGGTCAGCCTCACTCGCAGCTCTCCTCTCTGCAGATATGTTGCTTAGCATTCAGGATGTAAAATTAAGACTTTCAGTCAGTGTTTAGCTGTTTGGTTCCGTATTTGGCTCCAGCGCTGTTGGAGGGGAGGACATCTCCACCGCAGAGTGAAGCAAGGCTTTCATTTACATTGCAGATTTTGATCTTTCCTGCCTTTACTACTGTTACATAAAAATACACAAGCTCAACATGCAGTTCAGTGTTTAACTTCAGTTTTCATGTGAGAAAGAGCAATCAGTCACAAAAAGTCACATTTTGAAGGAGCAGTTCAACATTTTAGAAAATAGGATTATTAACCTTCTGAGGAGATGATTGGTCTGCTCAGGTAAACATGAAGCTACATGCAGCCTCCTCTGATTGACCGTCTGTAGGCTTCGGGAATGAACCTGCTTCTTCACATCACACACGGCTTTCTCTTCACCTCCCGCTATCTGCATGTTTACTTTTTCTAAATCTCTTTTGCTACAGGAAGCAAAAACAACAACCTCCGGGCAGCAACCTACATGCTAAAGAAATTAAGTTTTGACAAAGCTCCAGCGCTGACAGAGCGCCGTGGTGAGAGGTCTGGCTTAGTCTGACTCACCACCTGTAGACTGTGGGTATAAGCCTCACATTTCCTTTTCACATTTCACGCAGCATTCTCCAAATTTCGGTTATCTACATGTTCTGATTTTCAAAGCCCCCTTCGCTACGGGAAACGACGACCTCTGAGAAACAACCTTCATGCTGAAAACATCCGGTTTTGCTGAAGGTTTGCATTGTGCAGTAGGACAGGTGTGCTCAGTTCCCTCAGTGACTTTACAACAATAAAATGATGCTTAAGTTTTATATAGGGCTGCAGGTGGCTCGGTGGTTAGCACTGTCGCCTCGCGTCCCGTTGAGGATCTTCCTGCGTGGGGTCTGCATGTTCTCCCCGTGCAGCGTGGGTTCTCTCCGGGTTCTCCGGCTTCCTCCCACAGTCCACAAACATGCTGAGGTTAATTGGTGATTGTAAATTGTCCGTAGGTGTGAATGTGAGTGTGCTTGGTTGTCTGTCTCTAAGTGTAGCCCTGTGATAGACTGGTTACCTGTCCAGGTGAACCTGCCTTCACCCTGAGTCAGCTGGGATAGGCTCCGCCCCCCATGACCCTGGTGAGGATTAAGGTGTAGAGATGATGGATGGATGTCAGTTCTCACCTTACTGGATACAAATTTTCTACCCAAACAATTCCTCCGTCTTTTTTTTTCTTTACTTTTTTTCTTTTTATTTTTCTGCAGGAACACCGTCGCTGCGACCTGAACTTCGCACCAACCGAGATGACAGTTTTTGGTTTTTAAAAAATGCAAAGTTTCCAGAGCAGAAGATAAGGAGCAGTCAGACCATTCCGCAGTGTTGTGGAGACAGATGTGGCTTTTGAAGACTAACAAGTTAACAAGGTACATCATGACATTTATCATTTTTGCTGAAGATATGAGAGGTGCAATAACACAGACCTTCTTGTGTTTTTTGGAGTTTTTTTTCCAGTGAATTTTCCATTTGGATGATCGTCACCCTGCAGGTAAATGTTTCACCAAAGCAATTAAAGCAGTTTCTTTAAAACTGTCCCATTTTGTAGGATTAGCTCCATTTATTGTGATTAGTTTTCGGTGGTACAAACAGCCGGAGCTTTTCTGGCAGAATGGTGACAAGGTGGAGTCAGACCATTCTCCACGGGGCTGTGAGGATTGGGTTAGTGACTACATAGGCTACATGAAGGCTTTATTTTCATTTTGTGTGTTCTTGATGGTAATAACATCCACCTACCAGCACCTTCGGAAATCACTAAAGCAAACATTTCGTTACCTTTGGTCAGAATGTGGCTCGTTGTTTGATGCTAAGCTACGACGTAAAGCCTTTGACTTGGGAATCAGAAGACATGAAGGATGATGGTTGAGCTGAAAGCTGAAATAGCTGCAACAAATACATTCCCAACCATTTTGGTAGCCCAGCTTAAACTAAGAATAAATAATAATAACATCATTGTTTGCATTGCAATACCACCGGCATGTGCGATGCTGTGTTTCTATAATTAGTATGTGGTTTATTTTGGTTTGTTTTTATTTTTGTAGTGTCTTTGCTGCTGTAAATGTACAAATGTACCCATCGTGGGATAATTAAAATGTCAACATTGGTTTAAAAACGCTCATCGTTGTGTTTTTCCTTTGTGTTCTGTTATAATAATGGTCTGATCATCTGACTACCTGTGGATTCTGTATGATTTGAGCGATTCAGCTTTGGTTCTAGATGTTTGTAAAGTGTCTTTTTTTCCCTCTATGGTGTTTAATGCTAAGCTAAGCTAACTGGCTTCTGGCTATAGCTTTGTGTTCATGATACAGCAGTGAGGATGACGCTCTTCAGTTTAACCCTCCTGTTACCCAGAGCCCACCAAGTTAAACCTCCAGAAAGTATCATCATTAACATTATTGTTGTGTAAAAAGTCTTTAAATAAAATTGAAAAAATGATGTCATGGACTTATTTAGAGACGTTAAACATTGAATAGGGTCAAACTGACCCCAAAGATAACAGGAGGGTGAATTTAATGGACGTTTTGATCCAAAGTGAAGCACATCTGGGGGCAGAAGCAACACCAGGGAGGATCCAGTCAGGAGAGAACAACCCTGGACAGGAGCCATGGAGCAATGAATCAGGGTTCTCATGAAACTTTGTGGTTCCGACCAAAACATGAGGATGAGTTCACTGTGGTTCAGCACATTTCTCTCTTTATTAGATTCATTAAATATAAAAGTGTAATTTTACCAGCATCAGTGTCTTCTCCGTTCAACTTTGCCTCCTTTGTAACCTTGCCACTGTGACCCTCCTCCTCCTCCTCCTCTGTCCCTCTTCTGCACTCTGCTCCAATTTGCGTGCGCGGCCTCGCGAGCGCGGGCACGCACATTGGGGGCTCGGCCCTACGCAATGGAAAGGGGGCGCGCCCGACTTAAAGCAGCGCGCTGTCCAGTGTTGATGTGTCGCAGATTTTAAAAAGTGAGGAGACAGGCGGCAGGAGTTTGCTGTGAGGCGGAGAGCGGCGACAAGACGGAACCGCACCGGCAGCCGGCGGCACCGACACCGGGCTTCCTCCTCCCGCTCAACTATTGATTATTATCAGCGTCATTATTATTATTTCTCCGGTAATTCCTGCCTCGACAACAACAAGCTGCTTTGGTGCTGCTCGGAACGTGCGAGGCAGCGCGCGACCATGGAGCTGTCATCCATCGGAGACCAGGTGTTCGCGGTGGAGTCCATCACCAAGAAAAGAGTGAGAAAGGTGAGCAGCGCGAGCCGCGGTGCACTTCCTACAACTTTCTGTCGCGTGTGTTGTGTTTTTTTCCGTGCTGTCGGAGCCGCGTACTCCGTGTTCCGTCCGCTGTTCTCCTGCACAACTAAACTAGGCTACGCAGTTTGCCTACAGTTTACGCACAAGACATGAGAAGCCTGGTCCGGTTCGGTTTTTATGTAACTGCGCTGAAGTTGGACGGTTCTGCTCCCCGCTGCGTTGTGTTTTGGAGGAGCCTACGCAGCTGTAGTAAGGAAAAAGAAAAAAGAAAAAAGCAGGAGGTGAAGGGGGTGTGTGTGTCCTGACGGTGCGGGAGCTGCGCAGTTGATTTCGGTTACGCCAGCGCGCGGAGGATCTGCTGAAAGTGCTGCGTAATGTCACCGAGTGCTGAGTGATGGGGAGCCGCGGATCCACGGGGTGGACCCGCACGTCCACGGCGTCTGTGTGAACGTGAAGCTCGCGGGTTATGATAAAGTTTACAGCACGGGAAAAGGCTGTTTGGTTGAATTCTTCCACACATGCGCGCTCCCAGCAGCAGCAGCAGCAGCAGCTCTGGATGACTGTGATGATTGTTTGCTGGGAGCGTTGCGCAACACCACGTTGTTTACAGTCCCCGTGGCCCCACCTATCCGAGTCCACCGGTGTAATGTTCTAGAAAAAAATAAAAAAAAGTGGCCGTGCGTGCTGGAGGACCGGCGCGTGGAGCCCATGTGCGGTCACGTCACCGCGACGATGCGCGAGGAGGAGAGAGAGAGAGAGAGAGAGCGAGCTGCTGTTTGGAAGCCACGCAGCCCCGCTGTCATTGACGTCATCCCGGAGAAAAACACCGTTTGAAAGAGAGAAAAATGTCCGTGACCCCCCTCCCCACCACCTCCATCACTCCTCCTTTAAAGCGACAGTCATCCTCTGAGCTCAGGTTGTGTTGATGTGCTGCTCCCTCCTCTAACCCCCCTCTGCCTCTCCTCAGGGTAACGTGGAGTATTTACTGAAGTGGCAGGGATGGCCCCCAAAGTGAGTAATCCTTGAGTCATCATCCAGTGACCTCATTGCCTCCATATACTCTGCAGCCTGTGGAGAACATGCAGACAGACGGACGGACTGACGGACGGGATTGTTTGACTGTGTTTGTGTTGGCAGGTACAGCACTTGGGAACCAGAGGACAACATTTTGGACCCTCGCCTGGTCCTGGCCTACGAAGAGAAGTGAGTAATAACGGAAAGTCTTTCATGCTTGCGGTGCACTTTTCTTTTTCACTTTCTTTTTGTGTCTGACCTCTCCCTTCCCTCCCTGTCTCCCAGTCAGGAGAAGATCAGAGCTCTGGCCTATCGCAGGAAAGGTCTCCGGCCCAGAAGGCTCGTCCTGCGGGTAGCCACACTTACCTTTTCACACTTTTATTGTAATAAGTGCTGTATTGACGAGTCCTGTGTGATACATCAGAGGGGCGCTCCATCGATTTAGGGGAGCTGGAAATGTGATACTGGAGGAAAAAAGGCTGAGGCTGCTGATGTATTCCACCAGAACGGGGTCTGACCTCTTTCTTCTGTGAGGAAGTAGACCGCTCATTGTCTGCACTACTCCGTACGTCAAGCAGGAGAGCCAATAAAAACTAATGGATCAGGTCAGAACGTCAACAAACCATTCCTCTTCAAACTTAGCTGCACAGTGAGTTAAATGATTAGTTTTCTACCCAGCTAGCATCGAGTGATAAGGAAGCACAACATGCTTTTATTTTATGATGAACTTCTGATATCATTTGCGATGCATTTATAAAGACCCTGAACCAGCCTGTTAAACGTGGACGTCTGGTGCCGCCTGCAGGGACGTTAACTACAGTTTCATAACCGAGCCTGTTAGATCTGCGCTGCAGCTTTTACTCAGAATAAGTGTGTCGAATGTGACTTGATTAACCAGCCAGATGTTCAGCTGATAATATTCTCATCATTCAGACTTATTCATACTCTGACGTTTGGTGCTATGCTGCTAGCTGCTATGAGCTGCCAGACCTGTAGGGGGCAGTGTAACGAGAAGCATAAAGCCATGCGAGCCAATCAGAATCCTGGAAAAAACACAACAATGAATAGCACAAACTACTTCCTGACCGACAGAGGAGTGGAGCTGCTCCTACATGTGCTGATAGAGACACAACGAGTAAAATACGAGAACACACTGACTTTCTATCACAGCATCCAGACTGTAAACATGGTCGCACACATGATGATGCTTCAGTCGCTCACTGTGACGTCAAACTCTGTCTCCTCCCGTCTACATGCAAACGTAAAGACGGAATTTTTCCAAATTGCCACTGTGGCCGGAGTTTCCAGATCTGATCGTTTTCGGTGACTCGTAGCTTTGTTTACGTGGAAACCAAAGACCCACTGACGTATCACCGTTTCTGCTGCCTGTAAACAGGCCTCAGTTGAACAGGTCTACATCTCTGCTCCCTAGTGTGATAGAAAAGCCTGAATCCTACATTACCCTTAATGCAACGCTGCAACCCTGGTGACATCATAGTGATGTCATCAGGGTTGTTTTTCAAGCTTTGGAAACTTTTCACAGGCAGTCGTACTTCTTCGGGTGTAAAATCGGCAGAATGATCCTTTAAAATGCTGCGTCATCATTTAAATGGTAGCTGGTCGTTTTGGTGACGTCTGTAGATTCACTGTTTTGCGCTGATCAACAATCAGTCAGAGAAACAAACAAACATCATCACAGCAGCAGCAGCATCAATGCAGCTCTCATCACTAATAATAGACTCGATAGACCAGAATGCAGTGCAGCTGGAAGACGCTGTTTTTGAACAAAGGGTGTGACTCAGAAGGACGCGCTCTCTGACAGCGTTGTCGCCACTTCGGCTGCTGCTGTTCATCTCAATTTACACCTTTATTACAGCAAGCTTAGCTGTTTAATGAAACAGGAAAACCGGAGAAGTTACGGAGGGAAACGCAGCAGAGAGAACCGTCTGAGATCTTTCATTTTTGTTGTTGTGAACAGATTCCATGAAAAACCAACAAGTGACTCGACTGATAATCTTTAGTTGTGTTCTTTAACAAACACGTCAGCGCGTTGCTTTTAAACATGTTTTCAACAACTGGTTGAAACAGAGCATTTGTTCTGAACTACTTTAGCGGCCGGTTACTACACATGTGTTGTGCTGAGACGTGTTGACAGCAGCTGCGTGATGTTTATGAGACTCGGTGACTCGTAATGAAGAACGTGTCACACGGGAACGACGCGGCTCATTGATCAGTTTTCTACCACGCAGCCATTTACTGGTTTATGAATAAATTCCTGCAGAACTAATAATATTCCCATCAGCCTTGGGTGCACTTTGTGTTTAAACCGTGCTGCTAAACATCACCATGTTGCCATGGCGATTGTGAGCATGTTAGCATGCTGCTGTTAGCATTTAGCTCAAAACATTGCAGTGCCTCACAGACAGAGCTGCTGGTGTGGAGACCTTCTGACAGTGAAGGAAAAGGAAGACAGCAGGCGACACAGGCAGTAAGAAAACCACAGAATGTCGATAATCTGAACACTAATGTGCTTTCTGTCATGAAGCTACAACATTTAGTGTTTCCAGTGGAAGTAATACGTCGTGTTTGAGATGAACTGAATCTCACCAGAAGGTTTCTTTTCCCGTATTTATTGATAAATAGTCAAATATAATATAAAGAAATACACGACCAAAGCTTTCACTGGTGATTTGTCAGATACTCACATCCCTAACAGAAGTTCTGGTGAAGCGAAATACTTCAAGAATTAAATCAGTCTAACGTTATCATACGACAGAACAGTGATACATATTATATGTGGTTTATGTTGTTTTATGACTGATGAACGTCACGTGTTCTGTTCACAGAATAAATCACAAATCACATAAATCAAAGCCTCTGATTCAGCTAAAGAGAAAAGTTTCTGCGTCGGGTCGGGTCCAGGTTTTTCCCTTCATGCAGCAGCACCAGAACCTGCAGCTGCCTTCATCTCACGGCGCTATCAGTGCCGACATCACGGTGATGTCAGAGCGAGTCAGGATTGAGACAGAGATCGATCCGGCGTGCGATGTGAGATAATTGGTGGCTGTGGATTCTGGTCAGACGGACAAATGAAACCCGCCTAATCCCAGATGACATAACTGCATGTGAATGAACAGCGTAGCTGTTGTGATGCAGCTGCTGCTCCTCTCCTCTCCCCAGAACATCTTCGCCATGGACCTCCGCAGCGCCCACAAAGTCACAGAGAAGCCGCCGGCCCGCCTGCGCCTCTCCCTCACCAGGTCCATGAGCACCGACGTGGACCAGGTGGAGCGCGGGGGCATGTACCGTCGCCCGCCGAGGAGGAGGAGCAGGCAGAGGCTGAACAGGAGCGGGACGGAGGGCCCCCCTAACAAACCCATCCGTCCACAGAGGAAGAAGGAGGAGCCCATGGAGGAGGACTGGGGCGGCACCAGCGAGGAAGACAAGCAGGAGTCAGAAAGCACCACTGAGGAGAGATGTGAAGACAGTTTATATGGTGGGTTCATCAGATGAGCACCTGACAGGATTTAGTCGCCTTCACTTGCACTCTGACCTTTAAACCTCAACAGAATGTGTCTCCTGTTCTCCTGCAGGTCAGTCAGAGTGCAGCTCGCCTCCTCTGCTGGAGCGGCAGGACCTGGAGATGGAGGTGGAGGAGAAGGTGGAGGCAGACCTGACAGTGGTAAGCACAGACATGTGGACGGACAGATCAGGTGGAGGGACGTCTGAAACGAGACAGAAACAAACATTTGCGAGCGACGAATCAGACGACAGCGCCTTGGTGCCCGAGGCCAAACTGGGAGACGTGGCTCCGGTGGGCGACGGGTCAGAGCGGGAGGAGAGCGTGGCGTCGGGGTGGGAGAGTGTCGGAGTAGAGAGCAGCTCTGGTCAGAGAAGCAACACCACGTCAGTGATAGTGAGCGTTCAGGGGAGCAGCGAGACGGCAGCTGATGCTGCAGCCGTCTGCTGCGCTGCCGAGGAGAGGAAGGAGGAAGTGAGAGGCGACAATCAGACCATTACCACCAAGGCAGCAGACAGCCAGACTGGCCCCGCTGAGGCAGAGCATCCCGGGAAGGTGATTGTGACAGATGTGACGATAAACTCCCTGACAGTGACTTTTAAAGAAGCCCTGGTGGCTGAGGGCTTCTTTAAGAACTATTGAACGAAGAGAAAGAGAACCGCCGAGAGATTAAAATAACCATAATTAGACTTGCCACTCATTTTGTACGTGTAAATAGTCATGTGTGTAAGATAATTTCACATGTTTACAAAGCTACACTCATTTCCTACTGAGTTCAGTGAATACATTATTGCCTTTGAATAAAAAAATGAGTGGTAATTTTATCATTGTGGCTCATTTATTAGGTGTGATAGGAAGCCTGAGGCTCCAAAATGTGCTCAAATTATCCGTTGCATTCCAGCAGACTGAATGGATCTCAGTGGCAGGTCTGGTTCCGGGGCCGCTGGCTTTACTGAGAGCAGGAGACAGATGGTGAGACAGCAGCCGATAACAATACAGTTCACATTACTACTTCGATGCAGCTACTTTTTCCAGTTGTCCTCAGTGCTTTCCAGCAAGACGTCGATCTCACACTCAGATCTGTTCTCGGGGCCGGTTTCAGTCGCTCCTCTTTCTTACGAATAACGTTTTGTAAAGATGTTGCTCTCTTTTCGTTTCCTTTCTTTTCTTTGTCCCAGTATTCGCACAGAGCTAACCGCATGCCCTGTCAGTCTGCCTCACATTCACAAAGGCCTGTCCTGCGCTTTGTTGAAGAGGTTTATTTCTGTCACAAAAGAAACAAAACAAAGACAGAATTAATGCCTGCCGCTTAGATGAAGTTCTGCATTTCAAGGAAGATGAATGCACTAAAAGTACACAGTTGTGTTTGCTGTCTGTCTGTCCTTTAACTTTTCAAGTATGAAATGCTACCTGGTTCTATTTTTGTAATACCAATTGATAGTCCACTCTTTTCTCTAGCCTTTGTGCACATCAAAAGAGGAGATATCAGTTTACACCACCGCTGTTATGCTGTGTCAGTAATGTACAAATGGAAGCAGACGTACGTTAGGTCAGACTCTAGTGAGCTATTATTATTTATTGCATGTCACTTGTATAAGCTAAACTAACTTATGTCACTCAGTGTGTCCAAATCAGCCTCTCTGACAAAGATGAATTGTCAAACATGTCTTCTCTCTAAAAATGAATTTTTATTTTGACTGCATTTCCAATAAATGTGTACTAAAATAACCGTCTTCTGGAGCTCATTTATCTTGAAGGGGGTGGAGGAGGGTGGACTGTTTCCTTCTGAGACATCTTGTGCATCCAAACACATCATCTCTACACCTTAATCCTCAC